GTACATCAGTTGATTTACGAGCGTGGCTGATTATTAACGGTAGGCCATCCTTCTGGTAGGGGGATTCGGGTCATCCGAGTATCTCTATCACTGTATTCAGGAAACATTCAGTGACATTGTTGTGATGCAGCCACCAAACTCGTAAGAAGTTAAAGAATGTCTTTTAAGATGCCCAGGTTAACAAGTACTAGTTGGTCTGCTGTGATGCTGTGAGTCTCATAAGGTAGAAAGGGTATTGGTGCAGCCTGCTTACCTTAACCCAGTGGTGCGGTCCGATATGGTTTGGGAGGCAGCCAGGTTACGAACCGAATTGCTCGATGCCACTATGGCATTCGGCATGAAACAGATAATCCCCAGACCATGGCTAGGTTTCCAGAAGCAAAGAGATTCTGGGATGACTTGAATGAAAGGTGGTATATCTGCGACATGATAGAATGGTATATCCACAAGGCAAGTACTCAATCGATGATCTTTAGGGAGCCTTGCAACTGTTGCTCATTACTCTGTAGGGCGACGAGATTCACGAAGGAAAACCCATTCGGATGGATTTTGACACGACCCTTGCTGTTGGCAGAACGCCCAGTATTACAAGCAGACTAAACATATGCCTTCACAGTGAAGCGCCAGAACGTAGCGATAGTAGTAGGCAGTGACTATTTCGTGTTCCACTGAGGTACATTGGCTAATTAGCACGCAGGTGTCTACCAGTTGTGTACCTTGACAACTGATTTAAGCAGTGTACCAACTCAATACTTCACTAAACACACAAACAGCAAAGGCACAGAGTACTACACTATTAGCCATGTCATGACTATGACCCCGGGGTCCGCCTCAATTAAATTCGAGCTGGAGTTAAATGGCCAATCATATGGGGAGGTTCAGGCTACTTATTTCGATTGAGAGTTGCACTCGGTCACTCCGACTGCGGTGTGTTCAGGACACTGATCGTGTTTCTTTCTTTGAACTAGCGTAGCCATAGGAAATTTGATTCGAAGTCTATCAACAGGTCCAATAATTCCATAGTAAGAGCTCAGAGGTGTTGCCGCTCTCATATAAACCCATGCGTCTATACAGTCTACTTCTTGACTGTATTCCCTCGGAGACCACACCACCCCAACCGACCATCAAATGATCTTAAACAGCTTATTAAATTTGAAAACCCCCTCGCTGCCCCCCAGCTTCGCCAAGCCACCCAACTACCCCAAATCTGCAGCAAACAACCCGGATAAACACCTGCATTGACCACCCCGACGCAGATCTTCCGCGAATAGCGTCGTGTTGCGGTGAGCGGAGTTTACCCGCACCTCCGCATCCGGATAAAAACAGAGCACATCAATGCGATCGATCATCGGCCGAATCCGTGCTCAATGTTTGTAATAAAGAGGAGGGGACATCCCCCGTTACTTTCTCTTCGCATACGCCATACCGACAGTGCACAATGCGCCTGCCACGCTGCGTCAGCGTCATTCTCCTAGGGCTGGAAGCGGCACTCGCCGAGTCCACCCAAAAATGGAGCATTCAGGATTTTAAAACCTTGGTCACCTTCGGTGATAGCTATACGGACGATACGCGAATTAGCTACTTCAGCAACCATAATGGGTCTGCGCCGCCAGTGGGCTGGGTCGAGCCTATTGTATGTTCCCCAAACATCATGCACACTATCCCTACTTCCAAAAGGCTCATGAATGCCCACATAATGTATATATACATTGCTAACAAATACCACCAGACAAACGAATCCTCCTCCGGCGGCTACATCTGGGGTCACTTCGTGCACCAATACGCCCACCTATCCCACCGGTACAACTACGCCGTCAGCGGCGCCTCCTGCTCAAATAAGATAACCCCCCGAACAACTTCCTTCGGACTCTACCCCTCCGTCCTGGAATACGAAGTACCGGCATTCACAGCCGACAACGCCTACTACATTCCGAGCACGGGAGAAAAATTCCTCCAAAACGACCCAGACAGCACAATCTACTCCATCTGGATCGGGACGAACGATCTCGGGAACTACGCATTCCTGACAGATTCTCAGGTCGCGAACAAGACGATCCCGGATTACATTGACTGCGTGTTCAATGCACTCGATGGCGTGTATAAAGCTGGGAAGGGAAAGTACTTCGTTATCATGAACATGGTGCCGTTGCAGTTAGCGCCGCTGTATGCGACGCCGGAGAATGGGGGCATTGGGGCGAATAATTACTGGCCTGATAAGTCGGGGAATTTCACCGAGATTAGTTATCGCATGTGGGAGCAGGTGAGTACCGTTAATCAGGTCTATGATTATCGGACGCCGTTTGAGTGGGTCGTTGGGAAGAGGTATCCTGGGGCGAAGGTCGCGGTTATGGATATGTATTCGTTGGTGAGTTCAGTTCTTTCCTTGAGGGGTTGAGGTGTGATGGTTGCTGATGTGGGCAGATCTCCGATATCTACTATCATCCCCAGCAATATCTCAATGGGTCAGCGCCGGCGAATGTCACGGGTTATATTCATCATTGTAATGTCGCGGGGTCAGAGTGTGAGACGCTGTCGAGTCCGGATTCGTTTCTCTGGTATGATCAGCTGCATCCGTCGCAGAGGACGGATGAGATTATTGCGGAGGAGTTTATCAAGGTAGTGAAGGGGGAGAGTGAGTATGCGACATATTGGTCGTAGGGTTCATGACTTAGGTAGTATATACGATTCGATGATGCAGTCTACGAGTAGTTGAGATGGAGGTGTAAGGGGGTCTGGAATTCTACGGGAAAGATATCTTTTACCAGCAGTACACAATGATCACTGAAGCCATATTTGGACCCCATAATAAGTCTTTACATTCATTGGATTGTAGAAGTTTTCATTCCACAAGAAATAATGTGGTATGTCTATTTTGACCTAGTGACGATCTACACAACATCAAACTCAATAGTCCCCCATCCCTCAAACGTACAAGTCCACTGACCAACCTCCATATAAATAGCCTCCAGACAACTCCCAGGCATAATAACCTGTCCAGCCTGAAACTCGATATCATATTCCGCCAACCGATTCACTAACCACGCCACAGCCGACATCGGATTCCCAAGAACATTCTTCGTATTCCCTGTCATCAGCTCCTTGCCATTATGCTTCAAGACACCACGGGTATCATTAAGGGTAAGCTCGGTAAGCTTGCGCGGCGTTCCACCCAATATGATAGCACCAGTTGACCCATTATCCGCAAGCGTATCCGGCAGATCTATCGCCCAGTTGTTCACGCGGGAGTCAATGATCTCAATAGCAGGAATAGCATAGTCGATGGCATTGATAACATCTGCCACGGTGATATTAGGACCTTTCAGGGGCCCCCTCAGAACGAAGGCAGGCTCTAGTCCGACGAAGGGCTTGATGAATTTATTCAGGTGGATAGGTGTGCCTTCGTAGATGAAGGACTTTGCAAGTAGGAACCCATAGTCAGGGTGGTCAAGACCGAAAGCGATTTGCATTACTTTCGCGATGTTGCCGAGCTTGTATCCGACTAGACGGTCGCCGTTTGCGACGTTGTACTTGGAGTTGATGTCTTGGATTCTGAAGCCGTCGTCTGGGGTGAGGCTGGGCCAGATCTTGGTTGGTGGGTCGATGGGCTTTGCTTCAACTAGGGCTGTGCGGAGGGCAGATGCGACGTCGTTAAGGTTGATAGAAGACATGGTGAGGGGTGATTTAGAGATAAGAATAATGGTGAGAATTGGATGATTGATAGAGTATTACCTTGTTAGGGCATCGGGGCCATATAAACAAACTCGTAATTCATGCATCGTTCTTCTACTAACCTGCCTCCGTAGAAGCATCTCGGAACAAAGCAGTTGCGGTCATTCTTTACCTGCTGTCTCTGGCTACTATGATAGATACTCACATCCGATTCCGAGACGATCGATTCCCTACGTTCTATGATAAGCATCGGATAGGAGCCGAGACCCCCACCTTCATCCGAGAGTGCTGCCGCGGGTGCTGCCGAGAGCAGCGACCATAGATGCCAGGGATCGGGTTCATCATAGACCAAATAAGTCTTCTTCATACTGCCTGTATTGCAATATGACGGCTTGTCTCATTTCTGATGGTCAATTGCAGGTCTCGGTAGAGCCGATAGTGTAGGAAAATTACCAAGCAAGCAATTGACCACCATGAGATATCACGCGCCATCGTCGGCGTCCGAACCATGGATCCGATTTATATAAACATATCTCCAGGTATCCAGCAACGCATGTTCACCATTGAAGTTGGTGACAACATTACAAGATCTATTATCCAAAATGGCTCCATAAGCAATCTTCATCCAGGTTGAACTACCCATTATTATTGGACCCGCAACCAATTAGGCAACAAGGCCTTCTTACGGCCTGCCATGATCGCTAATCACCGGAGCAAAGATCGCCAAGTGGGAATTAATCGACCCAGCAAGGCAACTGAACAAATGATCCATTCTTTTCCCGTCCATGCCATGATCCTTCTGGCAGTTTCGTATTGGTTACCATGGCTATCCGACCACTGTGCAGGTTGGCTAGCTCACTTACTAGCTGTATCAATCATACTGGGTTTGACCGTGATTGAGTCTAATCTTCAGCCTTCCTTCTCTATTAAGCCCTCTTTCTATCGCAGTTTATCTTGACCGATAAGCGAAGCAGCAGGACGACACTCGACAAATCTCGGGTTGGTACCCGATCATACGAATCTTGGGGGTTTGTCGCGAGGGCGCTTTTCTGCCAACGCCAACGTCGGCTTATCTGCGGGGGTACGACCCACAATATGCGGTATTGGGGAAGGTTAAGCTTGTTGATCAAGACCGCATTCAGCTGCCGCACTTCGACTGAAAATGCGGGGGATCCGAGATGTATGAATCGTGTTCTGTGCCTCTGTATTGGCCCCGAGGTCATTGGCTACGCTGCCTCCCAACACCTGTTATAAAGGGGTCATAATGGCCTTCTCAATGCGCTGGAATCTTCCTTCTGCTCTTCAGGCAGTATCAGCAACCCCTTTTCGATATGGACGTCGACAAAAAAAACATTGATGACGTTCCACAGCAACCCGAATTCGTCCATGACGATGTGTTCGGAGAGATCTCGGAGCACGGTCCCAACTTTCGCAATGTTTATACAAGCAGTTCTCATTAAATAAAGTCACAGAAGCTAATTGATTCCACTAGGTCGGGTTCATAGGAACCGTTATCCTCATGATGAAGACGCAGATTGGTTTGGGTGTCCTCGCCATCCCATCCGCTCTGGATGTTCTGGGCATGGTCCCGGGCATTATTTGTCTGTTTACAATCTACTGTATCACTACTTGGTCTGGCTATATTGTTGGCACTTTCAAGATCAACCACCGTGAGGTGTACAGCATTGACGATGCCGGTGCCCTCATGTTTGGCCCGTTGGGCCGGTGGGCCCTTTCAGCCGCGTTTTGCCTTTGTACGTGATGACCCCATCAAATAGTCGGAAGTAATATAACACCAATAATAGTTACTAACTATATGCAGATTACATTTTCACCAGCGGTTCTGCAATCCTCGGTCTTTCCATCGGCTTGAACGCTGTGTCTACCCATGCAACATGCACGGCCGTCTTCACCGCCGTTGCAGCCATCGTCGGTTTCTGCTTCTGTAGTATCCGAACGTTAGGTCGCATCACCACCGTTGCATGGGTGGGCCTACCATGTATCCTAACTGCCGGTACTTTCCCCATCGACACGTCTTATGCACGATACACTGACTTTTCACAGTAATTATTGTTACTGTCGCAGTCGGTATAGAGGACCGCCCCGCTGACGCGCCCAAAACGGACGGCCCCTGGGTTTCCGACTGGGTGGCCGTCGGCCATCCCAGTTTTGCGGATGGAATTGCTGCAGTATCGAACCTACTATTTTCTTTTACAGGAATCCCGGGTGAGCTAAGCCCGTCTGGTTGTTCCTTCCCGGTATGCTACCACCCACTAATCCCGTCCAATTCCAGGGTATTTCTCCATCGTCTGCGAAATGCGCGATCCCCACCAATACACCAAAGCGGTGGTCCTAAGCCAGACCGGAGTCCTCGCTGTATATTCTGTAATCGGCGGAGTTGTCTACTACTACTGCGGTACCTACGTTTCTTCACCGGCCCTTGGTTCAGCAGGTGGCGTTGTAAAGATCATCAGCTATGCATTTGCACTACCCGGGCTCCTAGCCACACTGACAATAATTGCACATGTAAGCCACAGGCAGCCCAATTGCGACATAGGTCCCAACATGCTAACCATACCTCTTGCTAAAACACTAAAGGTCCCCGCAAAATTCATCTTTGTCAATATCCTCCGCGGCTCGCGCCACCTTACCAGCAATTCGCCCACGCACTGGATCACCTGGCTGAGCTGTACCTTCGGGATAATTGTGATCGCGTGGATCATTGCCAGCACAATACCCGTCTTTGATGCTTTGGTATCCCTTATTGGTGCTTTACTTGGCCCGCTTATTTGCATTCAACCGATGGGCGCTATGTGGCTGTACGATAATTGGAGGAAGGGGAAGGATGCAGCGCGGTTATCAAAAAGGTGGATGTTCCAAGTGGTATGGAGCGTGCTGATGATACTCATCGGCTCATTCATGATGGTGGCGGGAACTTATGGGTCCGTTAAATACATCATGGCATCTTATGCTGAGAGTGGAGGGTCTGCTGCTTTTTCGTGTGCTGATAACTCTAACTCTGTTTGATGGGTTGGTTTGACCCATGAGGAAGCTAGAATCAGCGTTCGAAGACGAGCTATGTGTACAGGATGAATATACTAGGACTATATACAGAGGTACAGATACTAGGAATATACGTTGAACTTCGTATTTCCCAGAGGCGTAACAAAGCTAGCTGACCTCAAGGAACTGGAGCCTGTTCCAGGCTTTCTGTGCTCTTAGAGAACCTAGATCTCTGAGAGCCGCTAAAGCCATATACAGTGGGGTTTCCGGACGTGATTCCACGGCTGGGAGAGCAAGTCTGATCTTTGACAGCTCTGCGTCGATATGGCCCCTACCCCTCGTGTGTGGGACCAGAAATTTATATGCCTGTTTGGAAGGGCCTTCTGGCTAAAATGAAACAATCCATGATCTATTTGTTCAGGGGTCTGTGAGGCTACCTTCTTACGTTTTGATTAATAAAATGTGACGGCTTCGTCGATGGGAACATGTGTTAATCTTTCCTGTCTCTCTCGTAGGTCTTCATATTAAGATTTGCCAAATAACCAATAGTCGATTGTACATTAAGCCAACAGAATAACAAACTTCTAAACCAATTCCTCCCTACCTCCACTCGCTACTCCAGGTGCTAAGCAGAGATTATCCGTCGACCATGACGTCTCAATCCCGAAAGCCCATTCTTCCAGATTCGAGGTGGAAAGATCCAATAATGCATTGTATTGTAGGCCCATTCTGTTAGAAAGTTAGCGAAACATAGCCAGAAAATCTGCTGTGCCGCAGGTAGCGTGACCTTTCTAATTAGTAGTAATACACATGCACTGAAGTCAAATCCTAAGGAATGAGATACATCCCGACTAGGTTCATCAACAAAAATTTTCCTTTCCAATTACATTCAACATGTTCGATTACGTTGAGGTACCTCAGGACTGAAATGGCGCCATATCAGCCAGCTGGACAGCTAAAACTATGAGAGTAGACTAGTAAATTCCTGCTTTGTGTTAAGAGAGAGGACGGGAGGGAATACCATATAGAAGGTGTATTCCGGAGAATACAGAGAACATGAAAGGATTCAAAAATACACTGGGAGTGCATTTAGCATGGCTCCTAGATACATCAGAGATGGAGTTTCTGTCTCCCAGCTACACCATTTAATCAGATACTAGAACTCTAAGGCACCATGCCTAACACATGCAGTCTTTATAAGCCTGCCTTCCAAAGCAGGACTAGCTGTCCACCGTTCAGCGGGATGCATTCGGCATGGCACGTTACTTTTCATTGGGCTAATATCTCGGAATTCGCAGCTCGCCCAAACTCATCATCTGCAAAAACCGTGGCCCTACTATCACAGTGGCATAAAATGACAGCGAGCCTTGTGGTTTGTAGGGTAGTTTATTGAAGTATCTCACAACCAGCCTGATTATTCCACGCGCTTATTAAATTCATTTTCAGCACATAGTTGCCTACATGTGTTAATATGCATACTCTAAGGTCTTGTTCGCGTATCTACTAGTCCTGCTGGTAGCTCCGGCGTTCTACAGGTTGGGCGAAATGGGTGATGCTCCACACATCACACATGCATCAGTCACGTTCACATCGAAAGTCGAGTTACTGACGGCGTTATCAACATGATCTACTTCTATAGCCTAATTTCAATTATCCTTGCTAGTCAAGGTAATGCCCAAAAATCATATTTCTCAGTCCGCTCCACTAACTGCCGACAAGTGCCGTCGCGGTCAGAGCACATACGCTCAAATATATGACCAAGCGGTATAACTTTGTCCAGAAGAATTCCTAATACGGACAATGTCTAGCCTGTTATAATTTGGTGAGATTGCACTATTCATATATTATCCTGTCAAGGGGCAAGTGCGGCTTCGCGACCGTGAACGGACAGCAGAAACGGAAAAATGTGTTATTCATGGGAGGCGGACTTCATATTGAATCACCACACATTTTACTTTTCTAAATGAATGTAGTTACATTGTGATGTGGAAGTTCTCGAATAATAATTATGTTAGTGTGCCCATGACACCCAAAAGGAAGCTACAACGGTATTGAAGCTTCTGGTTGAAGTTTAGTATACTACAGGAAGTCATATGTAATTGCATCTGATTGAGTATCTGATAGATTCGTGCCTTCTGTTTGTGTATAGTATCGCGTGGGGTGTCGAGACTATTCGCGTATACTGTAACCCGTTAGTTTTGCCCTTTTATCACCGATATTAGCTGCGGTAGGCACCAGGAATCAGAAGCACCTTATGATAGGCATGTGTCTCACACCTCTCTTCCTTGCAGCTTATCAAAATCTATACATTTACCGACGCTCAATTCCATTTTTACCAGGCAAGAGTGGAAGCCAATAGTATCAATTATATCCTAAGACAATTTGTTCCAGTGAACCAGACGGCGACATTCCTGTTCAACGTTCGCCTGCCCCTTGCCTGCATAAGTTGATAATGTCTCAATAAGCGGTGTATATCCCCGCTAATACTCATAACATTTTTATTCCGGAGCAGAATGAAGCTCGATTCCCTAGTCTTTCTCATATGTTACTTGTGTGTTGTCTCGCTTATTCCTGTTTCCCTCCTTCTCATTATGGCCCCGGGCAGCCAGAACTCGCGATCAAAAGATAAATCCGAAAAAGCGGATAAATCTGACAAGGCCGATAAACCCATACTCAGTGTTATTAAAGACCTCAAGGCGTCAGCTACAGCTGTACTTCAGCATTATGAATACTTCGACACGGTTGAGAACTTGCAGAGGCAGGTCAAAGAACTCAATCAGCAATTAAAGGAAGCCAATGCAAAGGTTGAAAAGGCTCAGGAAGAGCAAAAGCAAAATGATATAACAAAGGAAGAATTGACGAAGTCGTTCGAGCAGCGCATTGTGAAGTGGAAGGAGAGAGAGCATGAATTGGAAGCTCAACTAAAAGAAGAACGCACTAAGGCTGAATTGAGTTCGCAGAAGAAAGAACGGAGATGGGAGGAACATTTGGAAAATTACGAGAAAAATTTACGCAAATTAGAAGAGGATCTTGAGTGCGAAAGGGATAAGAATACCAACCTAAATTCCCGTTTACGATGGACCGAGAAGACACTAAGTGGCCTTCGTGGAGATTTCCACATCGTACCTCTGGAACAAGACTTGTGAGAGATATTAGATGCAAAGTTGGGATTATAATGCTCACTCGCCGGCAGTTTCTCCAAAAGTTTCAAAAATCTCGAAGACAAGCTCTTTGATCTGACTGAACGGTTCTTCAAGGGCCCTTTGCAACCCTTCGATCAGGTGAGCCGAAGAACTAGCATGAGTTACCGGGGGAAGAAATATTTCTTTGACACAAAGACAGGGACATCATCATTTTCCTCGCACTTCCCAACCGATTTTGTTTTACGCCGACTATCAAACAGTTCCGTGTGCCCGTATTGCCCAGTCACTCATTGCGGATCGGCTTTCTAAGGATGTTTTCAAGCCTATGTGTATTGCATCACCGAAGGGGCTCAAAAGCATGGGCGATGAAATCCAGAGATCCAGGAACGAACCTCGCCAGAAGGCAATACTTCGCTCACTTCTCTTCAAAACCTTCCACGCAGAAGAGGAAGAACAACAAAGGGACATTATAAATTCGGTTACGTCAGAGCTCCTCAACCAACTAGAAGCGATGTTGAGCCCCGAGGGTAATAGTGTATTCAAAGAAGAATTATCAACCTATCTGAAACTAGCTGCCCAGTTATGGAACCAGATAAAGAGTGGATCAGATTGGGTATTGGCGTCTTCCGATTGGCACAACAAGTTTCGAGAGTGGAAGAAGATTCGGGGGCAATCGAGTAGTACTGTGGTGGAACAACAACGACTGCAATCAGGAGTTCCATGGTATGTCATGTTTCCACAGATGTATGTTGATGGAAATGATTCCCTCTTACATCCGGGGTCCTTGTGGTCTTTCGATAAGGCGCCGGTTGAAGAGAAGCGGAATGCGCAATCTCCCCGGGCTCGGCGAGTATCGGCGTCTCGGAGCTCCAAAAGCCCAACTGTAGCGGAAGCCAGCTCTGATTCAGGAGTTACACCATACAGAAGTCTTCCATCGAGGGATAAGGTTGCCGAAATGGGTCGCAGAGTATCTTCGGATTCCGAAGGCCAGCGAAGATGTAAATCTACTTGCTGAGCAGAGTCACTCTGTTTGATACCAATGGACAAGCAATCAATAAAACAATGAAGTGGCAGAAGCCAGCAATAGAGACGTCTTTTGAAGTATGTAGCGTATTTTATTTATTTTTTCTTTTCTTTACGAATGTATAAATCAAAGTTGATTTCATACTTGGTCTTCGAGATCAAATATGATTAACCTTCTGTCATTCGATCATCTATCATTTGCCGTTTTCATAATGTCAATGTGGAACCATTATCTCACACTTTCAGTCCATCAATTCTGCGACCGATTATTCATAGTCTTTCACAGGTTTGCCGAGCGCACAATGTTGATACCACCGGTCACGACCATCTTGATGTTGACATAATCGTCAAGGCCGTACTTGCTGCCCTCACGGCCCATGCCGGAGTGCTTAACGCCACCGAATCTTCTACAAGTCAGCGGAATCATCATCAGAGTCAGGATGAAAACAACTTACGGTGCAGCCCAATCAGAAATAACACCCGTGTTTATAGCCACCATACCGAACTCCAATTGCTCAGACACACGGTGTGCCTTGCCTAGATCACTCGTAATCAAATACGATGCCAGACCAACCTCGCAGTTATTCGCGCGGCGAACAACCTCGTCCTCGGTTGAAAATTTGGCGAGCGCCGCAACTGGTCCGAATGTCTCCTCCGTGGCCACATTCATAGTGTCATTCACATTTCCAAGAATGGTGAGCTCGTGGAAATTCTTGCCGACAGAAGATAACGTGTTGCCACCGAGGAGTACACTTGCACCCTTGCTAACTGCATCCTTGATGTGTTCCTGTGTCTTGGCCACGCCATTGGTTAAGGGGCCGTGTGTTACGGCAGCATTCTTGCCATTGCCAATTTGACACTTCTTCACCTCCTCGACGAGTCTCTGGCTGAAACGATCATAGATACCCTCCTGGACAAAGAATCGGTTCGCACACACGCAGGTTTGGCCAGTGACCTTGAACTTACTGATCATCGCGCTCGTAACAGCGGTCTCAATATCGGCGTCGTCAAAGACAATGAAAGGAGCATTTCCACCAAGTTCAAGACTGAGCTTCTTGAGGGTGCTGCTAGATTGTTGCATGAGAAGCTTTCCAACCCGCGTGGATCCAGTGAAGGAGATCTTCTTGACAATATCCGACTGGCAAAGCGTCAGGCCCAAAGTGGGAGTGTTCTCTAGAGCTGTGACAACGTTCAAGACACCTTTAGGAACTCCCGCGCGCTCAGCAAGTACAGCTAAGACATTGGACGAAAAAGGTGTGAGGCCGTCCGACTTCAATACGACTGTGCATCCTGCAGCCAGCGCAGCAGCAACCTTGCGTGCTCCCATAGCCATGGGAAAATTCCAAGGGGTAATCAAGCCACATACACCGACTGGCTCCTTAAGAACCTGTGTACGGCTCGATGGGTTGCTGTGAGGAATGACATCGCCATAGATACGGGGGGCTTCCTCGGAGAACCATTCGAAGAACCCAGCAGAGAAAAGTGCTTCTCCTTCGGCATCACCCTTCGCCTTACCGTTTTCTGCAGTAATGACTCTGCCGATATCCTCCTTATTCTCGACAATCAGATCGAACAAGCGACGCAGAATGCGCCCGCGCTGGCGGCCTGACTGAGACCGCCATGAGGGGAATGCTTTCGCAGCAGCTGTGATGGCGGCGTTGACATCGTCTGTGTTTGATTCAGGGCACGTTCCAATGATCTCATCCGTTGCGGGGTTGTGAACGTTGAAGGTCTTGTTCGATTGTGATGCTACCCATTGGCCGTCAATGTATGATTTCTCGACAAAGAGGCTGGGGTCCTTTAAGCTCGATGCGAATGCGGGGCCCATTTTCAAGGTCGTACGTTTCTATGTAGAAGGACTAAAGGTCTTGGGTATAATGCTCAGGCAGAAGATGAAAGTGCAGGAATATTCGACGCGAACACAAAATTCTTGAATAACCCTTTGTATATATCTGAGAAATTGAATTAATCCTTCATTCACTGGGAACACTGTTGAAAATGGCTACCCCATATGTTATCCCCGCTCGAGCACGGATCCTCGGGTCAACGCACCCCTCGGGTGAGTACCGATCTTCCCGAGCGCCATGATGTCCAATGATTGACGTTTCTTCAATTGCTTGGACCTTTTTAGTAGGTGTTTCCTACCCTTACAAAAACTATAGTATTGTGAGGGGTTGACCGCAAGACGCGACCTAATACGTCACTTGCCTGTTTCGTTCGGCAAGCTAAACCTTTCAATCATGCGGAAATGCATTCTCGATTGAGCGAGAAATGATCCTAGGAAGAGAAATACGCCGATTCAACTACTAGGCTTTTGTGGTTAGAGTGCTTGGAACTTGTAGGTAAAGCGCGCATAGTACATGTCAATACTTGGTTGTTCTTATAAATGATTATTTCTCAACAGTGCCTTTCATTGGTATGCTTGTCTTGATAAAAGTGAGTATGAAATATGTCATGAATACACCGTAGAGCATAGCCTATCGACCCTAAGTACACCTAAGTTATATTCTCAATTTCATCAAACCAAGAGGCAACGGCTCCGCTACCTCCACACAGAACAGACTACTTAGCATCCACCCAACCTAAAACATACTACTCTCAGGAATTGTTTGATCTACACACCCGATCATCGCAAGACATCAAACACGGCTTTGACCTTTTCCATGTGTTTGGGTTTCGTTTACTAGTGAACTTATCTGATCCGAGCAGCTCGACGCGGAACCGACGCTCCAGAAGAGGAGGGGTAAGGCTTATCTCGGATGAGAAGCCGAAGCGGGGGAGACCCTCGGACCAAGCCTTGAGGATCGGGTGCATAGTGTGTCCCGATGTTCCCGATACGTACAGTGCGCGAGTCCATTGCTCAACTGAGTTGCATTCAAAATGTTATTTACGTCTAGGTGGCAGCGGTCGCGATGACATGGAATGTGTACAATATCAAGGGAGGACCTTACCTTCGGGAGTTCGATCGAACGCACGTACACAGAGCGCAAGCCACATCTACAAACCAATACAACAACACATACATAATCTACAGCCGTCTACAATCGCAGTCAAATTATGTTCACTAAGAATATCCAACATTAAATTCAGATATGCCAAGCACACAAATAACCCGAATCATAGCATCCGCTGCAATGTCCTTCGCAGTCGTTGTACCCTTCGTTCCACCCGCTTTGGCAACTGCAAAGATGCGGTCGAATCGCCGTGGCTCTGACATATCCCTCCAATTTGCTTTTGTGAGACATCCTTTGTCTATTATCATGCCTGCCTGTCTCTAAAGCTTTTCAGTGCATGCCCTATCTTACATTTGCAGAGTCGCAGCAGAAGTCAGGGACACCTCCAAATATTGCATATGACGAGCCCAGGAAGTAATACAAATAACTTGCATCCAGCGTTAGGCAGTGAGCTTGTGTGAGCTTACTTGGGTTGTTATCTTCATATGGGGATATTCAGCTGGAATTTGGGTTTGGAGCGCATCGCATGTGTTTAGCGGGATTCTACTTTTTCCTCCCTTATCGAGGACAATTGTCCAATTTATCTAGCTGTCTTCTTATATGTTTTATCTTATTCAGAGAGACTAAATTAGACCAGGTGAGAAGAACACTCAACGTGTATAGAATCCATAATTCAGCCGATCGATATCAAGGATAATCGCCAGGACCTTTAAGATACAGCCAACACCGCAACTGCCCACGCCGGCATATCAACAGTGAAGCTTCCGCTACCAGACACAGTAGAAGTCTGCGTCGTAATTGACACATCATGGGGATAGTTGCTCACTGTCTCTCCCCCGGAGAGCAACTGGAGCTGACCGGACGTCGTGCCCTCGATGTTCACGGTTACATTCTGTGATGACGACCCGTAGTTTGCCAGCTTGACGTAGTACGTGCCCTCGTCAGCCACGGATGCGACCCAGTAAAGCGGATCAAAGTCGGCGGTCGTGTTGACGGGAAGGACTGTGGAGCCACGGTTTGTCGAGAACATCTTCTGAACGTAGTATGATGTGGAGCCGGTTATGGAGTCTGGACTGGAATCCAGGCCGAAGAGATCGGGCTGTTGCGGAGTTAGTATGTTCGGACAATTACAGGGAACTGTATGTGATGGAGACGTAAGCACTTACCGACCACTCGGCCATATCGAAATGCTCCAGCAAGGGTGCGAAACTGGCCATCTTGACAATGTCGCTATTGCGTTCCATGCCGATCATGTAGACGGCTTCACTGCAGGATCCCTGCATGTACGACCAGTATGTGGTGCTACCGTCGTTGCCGGTCGTACTGGCGTATTCGCCGACAAGAATGGGCCAGTCGCGTGACCAGTTGTCCCATTCGTCGAAGAGGTCGATGAACTCGTCGGGTGTGAGGTAGTGGTGGATGTCGGTGATGACGCCGTCGGGGATGGTGGATGGGAGGCAGGAAGTGTCGGTGGTGGAGGCGACAATTGTCAGGTTGGGGTATGCAGCATGAACAGCATCATAAATCAGGGTAAATCGGTTTGCGTAGGTACTGCAGCCGCTGTTGAGGTTGTCTTCGTTGCCAACTTCGAGGTACTTGACGTCCCAGGGCTCGGTGCGGCCGTTCTTGGCACGCAGGGCGCCGTAGGTTGTGTCTGCGGATCCGAGGACGTACTGCTAGTGTCAGAAAGGCTCTGGGAATATTTTGTGGGGTAGCATACCTCGAGCTCATTGAGAATGTCGTCGACATAGGGATCCAAGGCTGATCCGGACACGATGCCACCACCTAGGGAGAGGCCACTCCATACAGCAAGGAGTGGCTCCATGTCCATGTCCTCGCACCATTGAAGGTATTCATCGAGACCTAATCTTTGGGTAAGTATGGCTTTACTTTCGAATGAAATTTCCGAGTTGAGCTTACCAAGTGCGTCCGTGTTGGGATAGGTCCAGTCACCTGCACGAGATGTAAGTCAATGGCGGTCTCTATGGAAGACAGGTACAGTCTCCGTACCTTCGCGTCCTGGGCGATCAACGACAGGACCAATAGTCTCGTTCCACTTCCAGCGATCGCTAGGTGTTGCACCTTCCCTGATAACAAGTCAATTCAAAGTCCAACGCCAAATCCAATCCCGATTCATGTGGACTTACAGATTATTGCCTCCAGGGAACCGCAAGAAAGACGGCTTGATGTCCGCAAGGAAACTAGCAACATCATTGCGCAAGCCGTTGTACCTGAGCGATGTTAGACTGTCGCCTAGAATGAAATAGTTAGAAACACTTACCGTGATTTATAAGTAGGAGGAAACAGCTGCACCAATCCAAAGTTCAGAGAGCTCCCAGCCACCTTGGAAGCATCAAACCGTAGCTGCCACACATTGTGCGCATCTGCAGACACAGACGAGCTGAAAGAAGTCTCATAGTAGGTGAAGTTGGTGCCGGTGCTATCCACGGTAATATTATGATCGGCATAAACAATTCCGCTCGCGTTTCCCACGAGTCGAAGATTGACGATGCCAGAATAGTCACCCTTCATATAGAAGTAGTTGTCGTAGTTAGTCCCCAGAACGGGAACTCCCTCATACCCTTCATTTGCAAAGCCAACGTAGCCAGTTGCTCCAGAGGGAACGGCTACCTTGAGTGTGGAAGTGATGGCACTGCTGAGAGGATTGGCCGTGTCTTGCGATATAGTCACATTTCCTACTGCGCTGTATGCCGTGAGGCCCGGGTCGTCGCCCTGGAAGCCGTTGTTGCGTAGTACTTGGCCGTGGATGCCACCATCACCTAGCACTGGTTAGTGTGCCATTCTCCATGTAACTCAATTGATCTGCCATACCAGAGTTGTTGATATCCTATATTCAAGCATATGAGCGACTGCAGTAATGAGATGAGGGCGAATCAGAGTCCGTACCTCGAACATGACCCCATAAAGAAGGGGACTTGACGAATTCCCACCACTCTTTGACACTGTCAGTTCAATGGCCAGCGTCTGACCGGCAAGCAATGCCGCGGCCAGCGAGACCAAAGTAGACGAATACATGTTTGAATGCTTCTGAGTTGGCGGCTCTACTTTTGCGATATCATATGAAAACTACAACTTCCCGGAAGGGCAATTCTTTAAATACTTTGGGTAATAATAGTACTAGTATGCAGCCTGCAGAACTGTTCCTGTTCCTTACATTCTGAAGTCATAGAATTGGGCAACGCATGGGCCCATGGATGCAAAATAACTGCATTTACCTTACCCAGGCTAATAAGCCCACAGGAGAATTACCTCGTTGGGGTTGGCATCGTCAGGCACTCGATCGCACCGACCCCCCACGCAGCAGAAGATGCTGGCAATCGCGGTTAAAGTAGAACAGAAATAGACTAGAATTATGTATCATGCGGGCAACATGTGTTGCATGTTGCTGCATGGTTGAAGAAATGCGGGGGGCAGATGAGGGGTTTCAAGGCTATCGTCGTCGTCCTCGGCCATTCTGCGCCGAGGGGTTAGTGACAAGCGATAGTACTATGTTCTCGGCGGAATTTTTCCGACCACTCAAGTGGGTTTACGGAGATTGCTTATGAACATTCCAAGGCATGAACGTAAGAAAACATGTCATTCATGTTATCGTGCCTAAACGTCGAGGAAAATGACTGGCAGGTGCCTGGATGCGAGGCGTACTAAGCCCTCGTATCCGGGCCGCTCAGGGGTCAATTCAGGGACTAGCACAGGGGCAGATGAACGCTATGCCCTTTGAAGTAACTAGGGGACTCCTGTATATTGTGTCATCTACTTGCTTAAGTGCGGAGTTTCCGAAGGAAATTGGCCTGTGCACAGATATTCTAGCCAGAAAAATGTCATGAAGTGCGTAGTTCGTGGGCAGGTGCTGCAAATTTGGCATTTATTGAGTATCGAAAAATCAATTTATGAAGCTCTAAGAAGAACAGACCAACAATATCATTACGATCTCAATACCGCTTTTGCTGTTGTGTGGGGGAGATGGAAAGGTAGGGGGGCAAAAAAAAAAGAAAAAAGAAACGTCCCGGGAGAGGATCGAACTCTCAACCTCACGATTAACAGTCGTACGCGCTAACCTTTAATGCTGAATTAGTAACTGATTGGATATGATGTGGTGATGAAGGGTAAGCTTACCAATTGCGCCACCGAGACGACTCGATATTTGGTGCAGAAGAATAGTGTTTAATGTAGGGCAATAATGGAAACCAGCCTTTTTTGAAGACCAAAGCTGATAACAAACCACCTCCTGAATCTACATATATCCAACGCAACATCACTTCGCTAAGATGAAAGATCTTTATTGCCATAGTTGCTTTATAGTGCGCTGAATATATTCCAGGTAAGAGCTATGTTATATGTACTTTGAGATTCATGTGTAGGAGTAATATCCTACGTAGACCGCATTGTCTCACTGCGGATATATCATCATCGCCTGTTAAGGAGTATATTAGGGAGTATATTGATGTTCTGAAGGCCATATTCCGAGCTCCCCAACAAGTCTGTGGGACAATCACTATCACTCGTCTTGATCAAGAAAGATGAATTTACGCCATCATCCTGACACTATTCGCAGCAGAGTATGACTTTGCTATCACCAACATCCAGCTCAGTCGATACTGATGATGACTTCCAGAGAAAGCGACGCGACCGCTTCATTTTCTAGTGCCTTAGTTAATTGAACCCACCTTGCCCTATCTCATATTTGGCCTGGTATTTAATATTATTGCTGCTCGATGATACTTCTGGTCTCACACATTCACTCGTTATACTGTTATATATTTCTCCGAACTCCGCCGTGGAACGGAATTTGAGAGCGAATGGCGACAAGTGCTACTGTTCGACAACCTACAGACACCCCTGCAATATTTGGACTTGATGCCCGTACTAGTAACTTAAGCGGATCCAACGTTACACTTATTACTTTATGACCATGGGCCCATGCATGCACTTAGTTGGCTGTTACACAGCGAGGGACGCGCGAGACTACAATTGAATAAAGTTTGGTAGTCCAACTGCATACTAATCTTTCATTGAAACTAATCCAACCAGTTGCCATCAAACGGTCTCACCACAAATTATAATATTCCTAATGGGGTATAGCTTCGCTCTACCTGCCTCCAGAAGCAGCCACTCGATCCTGAGGCGGGGTATGGGGATTTCCCCAGGCTGAGCCATGTGATACCTACCCTACACTGGATGCATTGAAACGAATAAGTTCATGATTATGGCGTTATGATCATTAAAATATCAAGAATGTACATGATAATATTGATGATTCCACCTCCTACGCCTCAAACCCAATTCCCGGCCCATGGTGCGGAGACCTCAACGCACGGTCATATTCTCTGTCAGCGCGGAAATCGTCCCGGGCGATCTGCTCCTCGTTGGGGTGGGGGTGGGTATGCTTGTTCTGAGGGGGGTGAGAGCGGTGGGTGTGCTCGTGGCCTGGTCCTATGTGTCAGTCACCAATGTCTAGCATGATGCTAGATGATAAAGCTAGGAGATGGCAAACGAACCTTCGCGACCGATGGTGGGAGGATGCTCAGGTGCTTCTTCGTGCTTGTTCTCGGTCTTGTCCTTGTGGTGGTGAAGATGAAGAGCGTCTTCGGCCTTGTGGATGAAACCCGACATGATTGATGGTGGATGAGAGTATTTCCGGTTATGAAGGTCTGGTTTTGACTCGAGGATGATAATCAAAAAGGAGACTGCTTCTCTCTTTCGAGGAAAGTGGTAAGCCTTATAAAGGCAGCAGGAGATTGAATGACGTCGAATTAGGTGATTGCGTGGCTAAGCGTGGCATCCAAGATGGGCTGATTTGATAACTTCCAGTTTCCTTCCTATGCATGCATGGCCGGGGCTAGTTTGACGTCATCGCGGAGATGGACGGGCTGATTGGAGCAACATCAACTGGAATGTAGATCACTAGATAAGCCTTGTCTGGCGACTCGGAACGAGCGGCACGTCTCCATCTCAGTTGTACTACGAATGCATGTGAGTTTCATTATGAGAAATAGGTTATATGTTTAGGGTTACTGTGATCGGGGCTGAACGGCTGTACTGTCCGAGGCGTGGTAGCATGCTGAGCCATATCCATCACATGAAGGGTCATCGGAATCTAGCTTTAATTATAAATCTGTCCGCGGGGACGAAATGGTTATTGAAAAATCCCACGGTCGCAGGCTATTGTAAGGCTGGGTCAAAGTAGCCCAGGACATAATGTCTTACCGAATACGGAAACCCGAGCGATCTAGAGGTCTACCCCGCGCCCATGAGATTTTCTTATGCCCTACTTTAGAAGCTCCCTCAAATGCAGATAAGTAACAGGATATGGCATCCGAGGTGATGGCATTGTGAATTTTAGATGACGGACAAATATCATCCCTGAGGATTGACACAGCCTTGAAAACATTTCAGTCTGTTCTTGGCCAAGTAACGAAACAAGCACATCCAGTTTCTCTCAAACTACAGAAGCAGAATCAAATAGACTAAGCCATGTGTCTGATTTCTGCTGAATGGCTACACACCGCCCCCAGTGTTACGCACGGTTATCGCAGTGCTTCCATATTTTCCCGGCTCATTATTTCGGGAAATAACCGGCTCTTCTTCGAGTAATCTAGCAGCACGGGTTCTTCCAATAATTCCTCTAGCGGTGTCCCTTTTTTCAAGGTAAGCAATGAGGCCAATAACTGGGAGAGTTAAAATTCCCGTCACCAAGCTCGCAATATACCCTTTCCTGAAGTTGGGCGCATCGGTTACTGGATAGAAGACCAACGGCCACCAGGTCACAAAAGCAAAGTCAAAGGAGTTCATGAATCCAGTTGTGATGGCACGCAGCTGGAGGTCATGGCCTGTAACGTCAGCCATCCACGAATACCAGACAGCTTGAGGTGCGTATGTTGTGCCGAGTAAATAGAAGGCAACAAAATAGCCAGCGTCCGTGGAAGGGGTCGAGACAAGGATAGCCGAGCCGATGACAAAAGTCAGACCGATGGCGATTGAGACCTCCCATCTCGATTGTAGCTTGTCTGAAATCGCTGCATACACAACTATACCCACAACGGCAGTCGCATGGATAACGGTAGGATAGGTGTTTTGCTGGACGACCGTGTACCCCCGTGAGGCTAGCCAGTAGGCCATGACGTTGTTTCCTAGCATTTGCACACAAACTGAATACACTGACTGGATATTAGCTCAGTGACTGGAAGACAATTCTCTCTCGACCTACACATGAAAACAAACGGCAGGAGCCAGAATTGCCAGCTCAGCAACACGCGCTTGAAGACCGTGGTATCCCAGGACTTCTTGGAGATGGTACCCAGCCGAGTTGCTGCATGTTCCTTCTGCTCATCGGTAAGATACCAGGCCGCACGGTGTGATGGAAGGTCCGGAATGAAGACCCAACCTACGGCGATGTTAGTATTGTTCTCTTATCGAGACAAAGAACGAGCCATACCGAAGAGTGCCACTGGGATAGTCATCACTGAGACGATGATGAATATCCACTTCCATGCAGGCAGGCCACCTTTACCCGCCAGTGTCTCTAACAGACCGGCTTGAATCCAGCCACCGGACAGTGTCCCCAATTGGCCGAATACGCAGAATACCGCTGCCCGCATCCCGAGCTCAGACTTCTTGTACCACGAGGCTAGGATAAATTGTGCACCAACGCTATTACAAGTTAGTGTCGGCCAGCTCAATCACATGCAAAGTAGATTAGGCGATTACTATGCGATGGCCGAGAACCCTCCTTCGATCGCATTCAACAGAATGACCTGCCAGGCCCGAGTCATCTTGTATGTGATTAAGGTCAAGACACTCCAGGTAACATTGGCAGTAACAAAGACATATTTCGGTCGCACCACTGTGAGAAGGCTTGTACCGGGCATTTGGCAGACAGCATAGACTACCAGGTACGCGGTGCTCATGTAGTTGTATTCTTTCCCCTCGAACCCGAGGGCCTCTCGCATACCGCTGATGTAGGCCGAGGAATAGCTAGACCGTGTCACACCAAAAAGGAACCAAATAAGGGAAAAATAAGGGAGCAGAGTAACATCCAGCTTGGCAAGCAGTGCCCGATCCTTGGGATCCTGACCCCAAAGCCAGGTCGCAAGTCTGGTCATGAAGGCCATGTTGATCAGCGCTTATTTAGCTGAGGCGAATCAATACTATCACTTGGAAGTAGTATGGCTATGCCTTATGCTAACATGAGCGTGAGTTTGAGACGATGAGAGTTGCAAAGTGCCAGATATTCTGCCGCTTGTCGCACAGGCGTCAGCTAGGAGATATCCCCAATGCCCCGACAGCAGAAGCACCAGAAACCAAAATGAAGCCTTATCTTGCAGAAACAAGAGATGCTGATGAGTTAGCAGGCTAGATCTCGGCGATGGTGAAAGACCGCCTGTGAATGGTGAGATCTCCTGCCGATAAGCAAAAGAAGGATAATGTGATCGTCGGTGAGGGGAACCAGAAATCCTGCAGTCGGCCCGCGTGACTTTAGTGAATTGTCTTTGAGGCTCCAAGGCCACGGAAAATGTCATTCAGTACAGGTAAATCCCTGGATGCAGATGGAATAACATTGCACCTATACTTCTATGATCGATATCCACAAAAGGATGTTCCGTAAAAAGTCGTCCCATTGGCGTCGAGAATCTCTCAGTATGGGTACATACATGTCTTCCATCCCAGACGGAGCACCATAGCTTCTTTTGCATGCCCAACACAGAACATATTAAACCCGGCCAACTGTACCTCCAGTGCTAATTCTCTCACCATACAAAAACAAAGGCTGCTTGTTACTGAACTTTGAGATATCGCCCAGTACCTCGGCAGCTTCAGGGCCTTGAAATGCCTGCTTCGCTGCATGGTCGTCCTCGTAGAAGAGCACACATCCGAAGAAGTAAGGAATTCGGTCTTCAGTGACACCCGGACCATACTTCACGACAGTCCAGCCATGTAATCCATATTTTCTCCAAAGTCGATCGACAAGTGGCAAATGATGCGAGAGATAGTACTCAAGGTCGTACTTTGCATCGGCTTCGTTGGGATAGAGGACAGTCACGGTATACACCATTGTTTCGATGGCTGACTGGCTAAGGGCTCATTCAAGTGATGGCATAAATGGAGGCAGATGGTACGTAGGGTTGGTGGAGGAAAAGCAATTCACCGAACGCAAAAGAGGGCTCCATTGGTAAAAATATAGGTATGTTCTTGTGAGATGGTTCAACTCGCAACCACTGACCTCAGAATGATCGATGTTTGAGTTCACTGATATTAGCGTTATCAATTGGTAAACTGTAAACTCTATACGGACGGAAGCTCGTGATGGGACCTACCCAGGGCCTGGACAAAAGCTTGCCTTCTTGGTTCGACTTTCTTGGTTCCGTGGTCATTACTAATAAATGCGGTTGCTTCGCAAAGATCCAGCAGCTATAGTTCGTGTCCTAAATCGCCCAAGGATCCGAAATCCGAATGGAATACCTTCCCAATAGATTATGCAATAGATTGCGTTGCAATGTTCCGCAATTGCGGCAACGACTATTCGCCGAAACGTTAAAGCCCGCAAAGTGTACCGGATATCATCATGTGTCTCAGTTGTTACAGCCATTCAAATCGCAACAAAGCTTCGTCAAAGCTTTGATTGATAAAGCCAGAAGAGATGACTATATTGAGTCTAATCTCGTGATAAAATTGTTTGACAACGCAAACGGATGGAGTCAGATGACTGCCTGTCAACCAAATAAACCTAAACCTTTGGAAGTCCGGTTATACTGGTGTGCAGACATGTTTGTAGCAAATTCTATTCAATGAAGATCCATTATGACTATCATCTATACTCGCTTGTATGGAAAAATATTGTACTGTTGGGCCATTGGGCTCGTTATCTGCCGTTCACCGTATCGAAACCTGGTTTTGCATATTTCTTGTTCCTATATAGAAGTACTCATTCGTGCCTTCGAAGACATGGAGAATTGCAAGAGACGCTTGTAGTCACATATACCAAAAGGGAAATAGGAAAGGTATTACCCAAACACTAAGAATTGTCTGAGCATTTATGTTTGACGAGATTACCATGATATATCAACCTTATTCGCATAAACTCTCGGAAATGGCCTCCAAGTCCCTTATCTGTTGTTCATGATACCCGTTAGATCCTCTTTGTCAGTCCTTAACATACGGTCCCTGAGATCACAAGTCTTTGTATAGCCAATCGATTTTGCGAGCCTTTGTCTGCTTAAGCCCATGTTTGTATTCATGGTGTTCCTTGTAAAGGGCTCCAAGAAATTCAACAGTAAATTATGGTAGAGGAACATTATGAAGTGATAACAGTCTACATCTTATACAAAAGATATTTATTTCTTTCTGGCAATAGGCGCACGATAGTGTGTAAAGATGGTACATGCCACTACATGTTTGGTACGACAAATGTATCTACAGCCTAAACTTCCGATAATATAGAATAAGAAATAAATACAAGAAAGCATAACAGGGGTGTTATGCATTCGTAGAGTTCTCCCCAGCTTAGAACTAGCCGGAGTCTTCCAATCACTTCGACTAAAAACACTCCACCACAAAGGAACAAGGGTCAAAAGACATTCTGCTTTGACTCCAGAATATAAAGTCTATAATACTGAGGAGATGATAAGTTAAATAGAATAATATGACCACGACTTTGCTGAATAGATGTACCTTCGATTGTTACGTGTTATATTCAATATCGCTTTCTCCATTGCAAGCCCAGATATCTTCCACTCTGCTTCACGCCCATCCAATCGCCACAAACAACACCAAAATGAATCCATTCGATGAGCTTCCATGTGAGATTCTATCCACAATCATCACGGAAGCCGCGGACTGGGTGGCCCTCGAAAGCCTTTTGCAAGTCTCTCCGCGGGTACGAAGACTCTTTGCCGGAGATGGCGAGACCCCCGGGGATCGTGAAGCCATTCATATAGTCAAATCCATGTTGACAGCAAATCCAATGATGCATCACGACCTGCACGGCCTGTTTTGCCAGTGTATTGCACTGCGCCAGTCCTCGTTAGCAGTTACTAGTCTCGAGCAGTTCAGGTCAGGGGACTACGATCAGTTGTCTGTGGTCTTCAGTTCATCCATATCACAAGCTTCGCTACGAGAGATGGTACATGTCGCAGCTAACATCCAACGGCTTGCGTGCGCTTGCTTGACCACGTTCCTGAGCAGGATTCGGGGGATAAAACCGAGGTGCCACATGCCAACTGGCAGTGAAGTACAATACGAGCCGCGCGAAGCAGGCCCTCCCTCGTGGATTGAGGAGTTTCGAGTGTATCGCGCGCTGTGGCATTTCCAGTTCTACTCTGACCTTTTGAATGCGGCTGAACGACTGATGTTTCCGCAGGAAGATCTCGAACTCTTGCGGACGAAACCCCTCGTCTGGAATAATCCGTCAGAAACATTGGGGTCTGAACTACTTCCAGTAAATGAATGGCTGTGGGGTATGTTCTCTGAGAGAAAAGATTCCTTTACCGATATTCCAGCGGTGAAGAGATTCCCCAGTAGCTATCCAGCATACGTGGATCCTCTCCCTGATCCTTCACAATTGCAGGATGAATATTCGGTCTGGGCCCCTCCAGCTCTTCCTATAGACAAGGGCACAAACGACATTTGGCGCCAGGGATCCGGAATGGTCAACAGAAGATCGGGGTCGACCGGATTTTACCCTTACTGTGTGAATATTAACATGAGTACACCATCAACACGTCGGATGCACTACTGTTTCGCTGATTCACCAATTTACCGCGAGATTGGTTTGAATATATGGGATAGATGGCGGTTATATTGCCTTGGCATCTGGTATGCCTGTAATCCTGATGAGCTCCGATGGGAATACCTAGGTCCAGATGGATCCCTTGTCCCAGAGGGCTGCTTTCCAGAGCATAGCTTGATCGACATTAATTACCGGTTGTCCTTCTTTATCAAGCCCAGAGTGCGGGAAAGGGAGGAATTTTGTGAGAAATGGTCCAGGGAGAAACACGGTTTACTAGAGACAAGCAGAGCCGAGGAGACAAGCAAAGTCGAGAGGAGGATAAGGCGGGAAACGCAAAGCATGCCAAATTGGTCTTGAATTGCCCCGACAAGTTCAAACCAGATATCAGCTTAGATCTCGCTAATTAGTTCAAAACAAAAAATTGTCCGATCTACATAAGACCACAATTCCAGTAAGGATAGAAATCCTGATTCAATAGAATTAGCTTTTACATTGATCGACGTCATATCATATTTCCTATAACCCGGCGCATTCAAGTGCGGCCAGTAGAGCACCTGAGATTGAGTGGGCATGCCCTTCAATGAATTCCTCCTTACCATTCCAAATAGGCCAAATTTCATGTTGTGACTAAAGATATAGATCGTAAGTCAGGATGGCCAAGGTTGTCTTTTCGATCTCAAACAACCCAAGATTCGGGGTCACCGGCGAAGCAACACTGGGCGATCCGGGCTTAAAGTGAAGGAAAAGCATGGAATACTCTTGATCGCAATGGAAAGCCCAGTCAGTTTACCCAAAGAATTACAGGCAACTCTGCACTGTACCACCAAATGCGATCCTGCTGCTCAAAAAGTTGAAAAAATTTGTTTCGAGCGGAACGGCCGTCGCAATTACACCCAGCTCGGTGATTCCAGTCGATATCAAAAGCCTCATTAAGGTTGCTCATCCTGTTTTAGAGAACTACGATGTAGAATTGAATTTGATATTGGCTTGGAAGGTACGCGTGTGCAGAACCAGTGAGCAATACTTTTCTAACATCAGTAGGTCGCCTGAGGCAAAGTGGAGGTATGGAAGGACTTCACGGCATAATTGTGGGGTTTCCTCAGCAGAGTACTTCGTAAAGCTTGGAAATAAAGCTATGCAATATTTTGGAAGCCTTGCCGGGGTTATTCAGTCTGGCGAAGAAGGTAATCAAGGCACAGCCGCTTGCGAAGCTACAGAAAAGATTCCCTTGAAGTAATGGCGGGGTTGGTTCAGCTGTGACGGCGCTCAGTACAGGAGTGGGTCTCTCTGAGGTGAAAAAGTAAATGACAAAATAGACTTCATAACAAGGAAGAAATGAGAAGGAGAAGAGCCAAACCGTTGCCGAATGGGAGCTTCGAAGACCGAGGTATCTTGCAATGAACGAAACCAGCATCTACGTCCACATTAGTGGTGCAACAGAATACCTTCAAGGCTTTCCTTCCGTTCTCATATAATCCCACCCAGTTATATAAAGCTATATTATGAACATTAGATCCAAGTCACTCATGAGCAATCAAATTCCGGTATAAAGTGAGACTGATAGTTGCCCTATTAGGCGAGTTCCGGGGTTAAGGCTTTTCACACTGACATATCTCGCCTCTCGTGAGAGTAACGCGAATTGTATTCCACAATCACCTACATATTTCGGGTATTCACGATCCAGGGTTGAGACAAATCATGCCCTCCGCAATAGATGGCCAAGCTTCTTTATTTCTAATTTCATCTGGCTACATCCTTATGGAAAAAAGGGTGTCCCCGTTCAGAGGGCGGGGTTTTAACTAATGCAGATAACCAGTTTTACATGAATTCCTCCTATGTCATGGAGATAAGTGTATACTATCATGCTCTATTTTCACTGTAGTAAGGTCTACCACTTTGGCTTGTAATAGCCTCACTATCAGATAATAGTCGCTTTTTCTTCTCTATCAAGGGCTTGGCCTTGCAGAACACTTTCAAATCACTCCAAAAAGATCCCTACAGTCACTGTCATACAAATCGCTGTACCTGTTCCTGATCAGCACACATCATGTCGGTCGTTGGTCCCAATGCCAAGGCTCACAAAGACCTAATCAAGTGCCTGGAGAAGAAACAGGCTATCATGGAACGTCTGGCGGAAATCAAAGAAAGAGTGACAAACCTACCGTCGTCCTACTTGAGTCAAGCATTTCAAGAGCATATCGGTATCGTGCTTACATATTATGATCTTAGGGACCATTTCGGTACCAGCGACAAAGTGTACTTTATACCATACGCAGGACGCCTCTTCCCGACCATTCCATGGGACGAGGCAGAGCTATTTGACTTTGATCCCAGCCCACGAAGAGAGACATATCACATCCATAGAAATCTGGACAAAATACTCGCCTATCTTACACCGGTTAAGGAAATATGGACAGAGCGGAAGTAAGTAGAGAGATACATAGACATTCTGAGTTATCAGGATACGTCCTGACTGAAGCACTGTTGTGTCCGGTACTAGGTTCTTCGGGGACAACGTGCAGGTTGGCGAGGACTTCCGCGATTTCTACCACTGGTATGTCGTCAAGGAAGCCGATGCACAGGGAGATTCGGAGAAAACACATTGTACTCTCAGGGTCTTGCAGTACACGGAGCCAGAGGAACTTCTCATGCGGAGTGAGGTCCTTAGCGCTGTGACATACATGATGCACAAATTGATGTACAAGTGCTACAAAGATCAAACCATCTTTCCGGTAAGTGGTTCAATTGGTTTAACCTATTGTGACAGTCACTTATTGGATAACTTGTCATAGGTTCTCATCACTTCGATCTTCCCATCAAAAGTCCGTATCTTACAGGTATATTTTGATGGGGAAGATCTCCATTTTTCCAAGACTCATATCTACGATCTTAGAGAAAATCATCATCACACGTATACTCTTCTTGCTCGGTGGGGGTATCCTATTCCGTGTGGAGACCTCAAAACTGTCAACATTAGGGGGAGAAAACTAAGCGCTGCTGTAATGGAGCAGGTGGAGGACTGGAAGGAGGAGCAAGAAGCTATGAATATGGACGATTCGCCCGACAAGTGACAGTTGTATCGTTTCGAGATAATCATTGCACTCAACGTTTTGTGTTGCTGTTTCACTTTAGTGGTTACCCTAAGAGTGCATCCATCCACAGTTTGCAGAACAAAGCGGCTAGTTGTCTGGAAAATTTCTTTTTCAATCTATTGACGGTGCTGACGGTCATAGCCTCCAATAGGCGGATCTTGCATGAGTATGATGATACTATATCCGAGAATTCTATTCAACCTTAGCACGGCCCCAATCTACCCGATGTAGAAAGATAGCCAAACCCCCAAGAAAATATTGATATCAGCGAGGCACAAGCATTTTGTTCCAAAAGAAGTACAATCGCACCCAATAAAGTACAGACCCCGAGGCATAAAGCCCTTTTATCCACCTCGGTTCAATCCAGCCAGCGTCTCCGGTACCGCAAAATACCGATGAAACTGTCCCCTAGTATCATACCCCCCTTTCAGCCTCGTAAGACGTTCCTACCTCCTACTCGACGACCTGCATCCCTCAAAACAAATGCTTTTCCAGGTGAATCATATTTCTTGGCTCGCAAACCATAACGGATGTAAAGTTAATTCCACCTTTAAGTCCGATGACGGGCGTGCGGAGTAAGCTCTCGATCTCCGAAGCCCTCGAGGCTATATCCCCCACTCGTCCATTCCCCTACTGACTGGCCTTCACCATGAGAAGAATGTATACTTGCTTCATTCACACACACACTCCCCTCCAATAGCCTGAATTCTCACAACTTGTATTATCCAATTCACACACAATGCCACTCCCCAAACCCCTCCCCATTACCGGCTTCGGCCTCCTAGGCATGACATGGCGCCCCAGCCCAACCCCAGACGAACAAGCCTTCAGCGCCATGAAAGCAGCCATCTCCCATGGCGCCACTATCTGGTCCTCATCCTCCGTCTACGGCATGCCCCCTCAGCCCCCCACAGCAGGCCTACACCTCTTGCGCCGCTACTTCGACAAGTACCCCGAGGACGCCGAAAAGGTGACTCTCTTCATCCGGGCCTGCTTAGACCCGGAAACCTTATGCCCGACATGCACACGCGCAGGCGTCCGTGCTAGCTTCGACGAGTGTAGAAATGTCCTCGGCGACGCCAAAAAGATAGATATTTTTGGGCCAGCGCGCATGGATAAGAAAGTGCCTGTGGAAGAAACGCTAGGGGCGTTGGGCGAGTTGATGGATGAGGGATTGATCGGGGGAGTTGGGTTGTCGGAAGTGGGTGCAACTACTATCCGCAAGGCGCACGCGGTGTGTCCGTTGAGTGTGATCGAGGTGGAGTTTTCGTTGTGGAGTACGGATATCTTGGAGAATGGGGTTGCGGTAGCTTGTAAGGAGCTGGATGTACCGATTTTGACATATGCGCCGCTGGGGTATGGGTTTCTTACCGGGCAGGTGAAGAAATTAGAGGATATCCCGAAGGGGGATATTAGGCATTGGTTTGGGAGGTTCCAGCCTGAGGTTAGACACACCCCCCTCAGCCTGTTCCTTTTGCTATCTATTGTGCAGGGGTTTGATACAAAACATGAGTTCGGTTATGCTAACCGACTTTTGTGAAGAACTTCCCCAAGAACCTCGAATTGGTGGACAGAATCAACGACTTCGCCAAGCAGCGCGGCGTCACTCCCGCCCAGTTAGCCCTCGCCTGGATCCGCGCTCACTCTAACTCTGGGCCCTACGGAACTATCATCCCCATCCCTGGCGCAACGGCGGCTCCTCGTGTCGAAGAGAACTGCACCGCGGTTCCGCTGGCAGCTGAGGAGAAAGAGCAGCTAGATGTGATTCTAAAATCGTTTGATGTTGTGGGTGAGCGACAGGTCGTGGGGATGAGCTCTGAGTTGTGGGGTTGAAAGACATCGGGGGGATGACTAGTACTCACAGTCTGCATTTTGGAGCGCCCATACTTAGGAAGCTTGGGTAGTAGCGCTTTGATGTATTTATAGTAGTACATCCTGTGTTCGAATGATAGTATGCAGACAATGAATCTGGCATTTCTGAACCACCCAGTTCTATCGTCTTATCTATCTCATCTATTCTGAAAATGGCGCGCCATGAACCATGAACCAATCCCGGTTTTCTACAAATTCAATGCAATGCACATGACTCAGACTCACACCCAAGGACCCTTCGAATCCAGTACATCTCTAATTGTTCTTCCGCTTCCGATCCATTTCGCTCAACCTCTTCATACCACGCGTGATCTCCACCGCACTTTCGTACGCAAGATCTACACTTTGATTAGCGACTTCAAACCCCACCCAGCAAGGCATAGATAAACTCACAAGTACCAGCAGCAAGCCAGATAAAGTTCATGAAAAAGTAATAGAACCAGAAATAGTAGCCTTCAGGACGACAAAAGGACACTCCATGGTAATAGAGGTCGAACATGCTCGTAGCGTAATAAAGCACATCTCCGTAGACCTGTCCTACGGAGACGATGAGCTGCAAGACATATCGGGCTGGATGCTGCCTGGCGATGCAGTATGCGATAGTAAATGCGAGAGGGCCCCAGCAGAACTGTATGTATTTGTCAGAGGTGAGTTGATTCGGTGTTATGATATGGGATAGACTTACAGCGGTGACAGCCTCCATGGAAACGAGGAATGAATCCGAGGTGAGATAGCGTGAGTCGGAAAGGGAATATTCCTTCCAGAGCTGGCCGAATAAAGTGTGCGAGCCGGCTAGGGTCTTGTGGTAGACCACGAAGTAACTTTCGAAGAATAGATGTATGCATCCCGCTGTTTCATCCCTCGTTAGTAAGTATTCCAAAAATAAGCAAAGACGATACCACTTACTAAAGCACATCCAAATGAACGCAAACTGGTCGGATCGAGACACCAAGTTTCGCGGACGGCAGATGTAGGCAGATGCGATACCCAGCACCAAAGCCCATAGCACAGCAAACTGAGCAACCAGCGATAGAGCCGAGCTCTCGTTGGCTACATAATGCGGCAGATATACCGAAGACGGATAGTAACTGTGAATGACATCTGTAACATTGTACATTTTGCTTGAGTTTTTGTAGTGTTGTCTGCAGCCAGTAGCAGTTCACACAGATGGCTTTATACTATGAAGCCTATAGTGTGTGTACGGGCGGAACGCGCGGACTCCGAGAAACGGCTCGGGATCTCCGCCTGTTCGCTGACACCACTCTATTAACTACTACCCCTATCCCTTGCACGCTATTGCTAATACCTTGCATGCTTAGTGGAGTGTTCTTGGCTTACTGGCTTGGTTCGTTCAGGTACCGTTGGCCAAGAATAGAATTAAACTCAATCCATGGTTGGAGTTAGCTGCAGCATTAGGCGTCCTCGACGAGTTTAGCTCTTTGCAAGTGCTAACTCTGCGTGTGAACATTAGCTAGAAATTTGTCTTATTGAAATACGACGGGAAGTACAGTTATCCCGGGTTTCTTCTCATCAGAAAGAAGAAATAGTTGTTACAGTGTTTCAGAATATGAACTTGATGACCCTGATGTACTATAAAAAAGGACGGCGCAGATAGTGACGGGTTGTACTTAGTCCAGGCTGTTAGCTTATGAGCAATACACTCTGGGTTACTCGATCCTTACATAACTACAGCGTATTATTCTTAGTGATGTTTTTCATTCTTCTGCTCGACTACATACGTGGCTAATGTCAGTGCCCAGAGCCCCAGATATACTTGTCACAGACAGCTCTATCAAGATACTTTGAAAGCCCGCAACATCAACACTATCCCTTCATCCATTTAATTCAATTCAAATTTCTCAACAGTAAAACAATACCCGAAATTCCACAATAAAATCCACATAAGGAGAGTCATATTCCAACCCCCAACCCCAAACTCACTCAAAATAGCCATCTACTCACCACCCTACAAAGCCAACTCCAGGCTGACCATGAAAAGACCAAGTGCAAACATTCCACCTCAAACTATCACACGACTACCAATCCTTCTCGTCCCAAATCAAACAGGGCAATCCCGCTTATCGTGCCCCTTGCCATTACATTTGGCACATCTCTGCATAGGACAGTATCTCATAGAATGACCGACACAATCACATCTCATGCAGCGTGGAATGGGGCACTGCATTATTGAATGGCCTTGCTGGTGGCATGCTGAGCAGGTTGTTGGGGGGAAGGTGTATACTCTGTCTGGCATTTTGGTATGGTATGGTATGGAGTTGATATTGGGGTGGTTGGGTGATCTGATGTGGTTGGGGACTATGAATGGATGATATTAGAGGATGGGCGGAGGTGTAGATATGAGATGGGTCTCTGGTTGTGAGAATATGGAGTGGATGAGGACTATCAAAAGAGGAGGAATTTATAGTGTTGTGGTGAGCACTCATGAGGCTCTCAGTGTATACCATGTAAGAGGAATTTTGTTACTCGTCTAAGTTGTTTTTTCTCAGTAAACTGTTGACTTGGTATGACTACGTGGTACATTGGATGTTTTAGGAAATTGGCAGAGAACAGTTAAATGGAATCCCTCAAGTACCCCAAGTAGAAGTAGATATTTCATCCTCCGTGACATATTGACTTGGTATGACTACGTGATACACTGAACATTTTAGGAAATTGACAGGGAACAGTAGGAGTAGACTACCCTAAGTAGGAGCAAGTAATACTGTTGCAGAATACCTACTCAGCCTGGCTGTCTATCTACCAGGGTGGCATCGGTCCTTACCCGATGGACCGACCCATGACCATAGAGTTAGGGTGGTGGGGAAACGTTAGACCGTCTGGGACAATGCACACTTTTAAGTAAAGGGTGGTACCGGCAATGCACAGCCCGCGGCTTCCGCACCCACCGATTGATGTCATGCTTCCGGATAAAGTGTCAACTCAATTCGACCCGTTGAACGAGGAGGAGAAAAGATTAGTGTCTTGGTTGATGATGTATGCGCAACAATTGTGTGACCCGGTGGAAGAGGCAAAAAGCCGTTAACCACACACACAAGCGCGTGTGGGGCTGCAGATCACCCCGACCGGCAGCCGGCCTAATTTCTGGGGCGTCTGCTTCTAGTTATAAGTTACTTTTTAGGGCCCCCCAGTCGGCCCTCGGTTATAGTATGTCCGAGCAGCAAGGAAATGTGGCTGCAAGGTGTTATGTGTCAGTTGTATGCTCGAAGATCTCCTTTATTGATTTAAGGAGTCGCGGTGAGTGTCTTCCGGAAAAGTTTTACGATCTTTCATGGCAAGCCCAACCCCATTTTCTGGAGAGTCGGATTAATCCCCGGCAAGCTTCAGGGGTACCGCAAATTGATGTAAGTTACTGAAGCCTCGGCCCCTCAACCATAGAAGCTTTCCCCGCACATCGCTGGTAGCTTTTGGAGTTCACCGGTAACTTATATACGGCTCCCCCACGCCGATCGTGACTTCTCCCCCATCATTTCTTCCTCTATTCACCCGTCCTTGATCACTCATCCTCTTGCGTCTTGTTCCGCGAAATCCGCCTCTGAATACACCCACCTTCCTACAGAGAGCTGAGAACCTCACACCCCACGACACGATGGTTTTCCTACCTCCTAAAGAGGCAGGCACTTTGCCGCCTATTCCGGACAATATTCCGCTCAGTGAATTCATGCTTACAGAGTTGTATGGGCGGAATCCTCTGGGTTACTCACGGGACCCTTTCACTTGCGGAATTACCGGGAAAAGCTTTACCACACTAGATGTGGTGGATCGTGTCGATTATCTGTCTCGCGCTCTGTCCAAGGAGCTGAACTGGAAGCCGAACACAGGCACCGAATGGGATAAGACGTTAGCAATCTTCAGTTTGAACACCGTGAGTTTCAAGCCCCAGGTCGCTACGACATCTTAGCTCACTAGATTATCTTCCCAGATCGATACCTTGCCACTGTCATGGGCCGTCCACCAGCTGGGGGGACTGGTCTCCCCGGCTAACGCAGCCTACTCAGCTGCTGAGCTAAAGTATCAGCTGCTCGATTCCAAGGCCAAGGCTTTGTTCACCTGTCTCCCTCTCCTACAGACCGCTCTTGAGGCTGCATCCCTTGCTGGGTTACCCAAGGATCGCATATACTTGTTGGAAGTCCCACCACAACTCACCCCCGGAGTCAAGGCTCCAGCGCAATTCAAGACGGTCTCACAGTTCATTGAAGAGGGGAAGTCGCTCCCCAAGGTCGAGAGACTGAACTGGGCCGCTGGCGAGGGTTCTCGGCGGACAGCCTTCCTATGCTATTCCAGTGGGACATCCGGGTTGCCTGTGAGTCAGAACATGCAGGATATTTTATGTCACAAATCGCATCTGACCTCCATACTAGAAAGGTGTCATGATCTCTCATCGCAATGTCATCGCAAACGTGCTCCAGATCCAAGCATTTGAGGGCACTTGGCGCGACTCCCTCAAGGCTCCCGGAACCCAAGGCAACCACACCGAGGTGGCATTGTGTCTGCTTCCTCAGAGCCACATCTATTGCCTCGTAGTTATATGCCATGCTGCTCCATTCAGGGGTGACCAGGCCGTTGTTTTACCAAAGTTCGAATTGGATCTATATCTCGCTTCCATTCAGAACTTCAAGATCTCGTCACTGTTCCTGGTCAGTAATCTTGCTCATATGAAGGCGCCGCTCCGCAATGGGGTCTCAGTGGTTAACTCTAATAGGTCCCTCCGATCATCATCAACATGCTCCGCAACCACGAAACTTGCGCGAAATACAACCTAAGCTCAATCAGGAGTATTTTCACTGGTGCTGCGCCCTTGGGTGTGGAAACAGCCGAGGACTTTCAGAAACTATACCCGAATGTAATAATCCGGCAAGGATACGGTACGCATTCCTTCAAGACAACTAGTGTCTCACACTGACATGAACGTGCAGGTCTGACTGAGACATCAACTGTGGTATGCTCGACTCACCCAACTGACGTCTACCTCGGTTCATCTGGCATCCTCCTTGCTGGCGTTGAAATGCGCATTGTGACCCCAGAGGGGAAGGAGATCACAGACTACGACACGCCTGGTGAACTGGTGGTCCGCAGCCCAAGTGTCGTCTTGGGTTACCTTAATAATGAGAAGGCGAACCGGGAGACCTTTGAGGATGGGTGGATGCGAACCGGTGACGAGGCCGTCGTCCGCGTGGGCCCCAAGAAGACGGAGCATATATTCATTGTCGACCGTATAAAGGAGCTTATTAAGGTCAAGGTATGTTTTCAGTGATTCGTCTTCTTACTAGAAATTCGTGGAGTAACCGATCGGAATGAACAGGGATTACAAGTGGCCCCGGCCGAACTGGAGGCTCATCTTCTTACCCACCCCGCCGTTGCTGATTGTGCTGTCATCGCCATCCCCGACGAGGCGGCTGGAGAAATCCCCAAGGCCATTGTGGTCAAGTCACCTTCTTTCCGTGGCAGTGACGAGGAGGCTATCCAATCGATCAAGAAGCATGTAGAAGAGCACAAAGCCCGACACAAGTGGCTCAAGGGCGGCGTTCGCTTCATCGATGTTATTCCCAAGAGTCCTAGTGGTAAGATTTTGCGTCGGATGCTTCGCGATCAAGAGAAGGAGGCAAGGAGAAAGGCTGGTTCCAAGCTGTAGGCATGCTTATACTTTGGGATACTGTGAGAGCGGTGCACTGCAGAAGATTTTGCCTCGGCACGCTCCCTCCTATGGATATAAATATTTCATAAAATAGATAAGATCTCATTTACCAGAATGTCCTTTAGATAAGATACAAACAGTAGATGGGATGCTTTGTGTTTAGTACTTAGTGACCCCCTTAAGCGGATGTTTGCTGTGTTTGCATTCATCGCGGGGAAAGAATCGAATTTCTAAGCGGGGGTTGATCGGGAAGATTGATCAGCACCGAAAAAAAATAATACTCATTCTTCGGACGGCGCCCTCTGTCGTTCCTTCACATTTCTTTTCAATAAATTTCAAATCGGACAGTCGCAAGCTGATCCTCACCTGAAACTTCCTGTCAAACACATCTATCACCAAAAACAACACATCCCCTGCGTTCAGTGCAACCCCGCAGTTCATATTTACATCACCATGTCGTCGCAAGATCCTCACCGCGCCGACGACGACGCCTACGTTGATGCCGATGAAGCTGATGAGGTTATCAACCGTGATGAGGACCACCCCATGGAGTCCGATGGCGAAGATGAGGATGGCGATCAGCCCATGAGCTACGAAGAACAAGAAATCACCCTGCAGAATGACTCCGCCGCCCATTTCGATAGCCACAACGACTCCGTTTTCTGCATTGCTCAGCACCCCATCCACAACAACATTGTTATCACTGGCTCCGGAGACGATACCGCTTATATCTTCGATTCGACACCGAACGATGAGCGCCCCGTCCTTCCCCGCAGCTACGAGTCGGACCCGCAACCCAGGCGCGAGCGGGATTCTCTCCAGCCGCTTCTCAAGCTTGACGGCCACTCCGACACCGTGAACGCCGTCGCATTCACGGAACCCAAGGGCGAGTTCGTTATCACGGCAGGAATGGACGGCAAGCTGCGTGCTTACCGTGATACTACACCCCAGGGTACCGGGCTCGCATGGCAGTTCCTCGCGGAGGTTCAAGAAGTGGAGGAGATCAACTGGGTTGCTGTCTGCCCTTGTGAGAAGGGCAACGAGGAGAAGAGCAACATCATTGCTCTGGGTGCCAACGACGGTAGCGCTTGGGTGTTCCGCATCGACCCCCGGGACGCCGCTGCCCCCATCTCCATCATTCAGTCTTTCTTCCAACACACCGGATCCTGCACTGCGGGTGCCTGGACTCCCGATGGAAAGCTGCTGGCGACCGTCTCCGAGGACGGTAGCTTCTACGTTTACGATGTCTTTGGCGACGCTGCCGCCGCTGGCGTCTCTTACTCCCCGGGTACTAGCGCTGTCGTCGGTCTGACTGCGGAGGACCAGCGCTTCGCCGTCGAGGGTGGTCTGTACTCTATCGCCATCTCCCCGGGTGGTGCTATTGCCGCTGTTGGTGGTGCCGAGGGCAACATCAAGGTGGTCGGTCTTCCCCGTTTAGCGCCGGCTGGCGGCGCCGCTGCTTCCAAGGCGAAGGGCAAGGGTGCTGCTTCACAGGCGACTGCCTCTGCTGCGGGTACTCTGCTCGCCTCCCTCCAGGCTCAGAGTGACGGTGTTGAGACTCTCTCTTTCTCTTCCCCTCCTCTGACTCTTCTTGCGGCTGGCTCCGTGGATGGCTCGATCGCCCTGTTCGACGCTGCCCATCGCTTCGCCGTCCGCCGTCACATCAAGGAGGCGCACGAGGGCGCCGTGGTTAAGGTTGAGTTCCTGCAGAGCCGTGCTCCTGCCACCCCCTTGCCTCGTCCGAGCCCGCTGGCAGCCGCGACGGCCGGTCAAGGCCAACCGTGGCTACTCACCTCCGTGGGTATGGATGGTATTGTCAGACGCTGGGATGCCCGTGGAGGAACTGCGGCTGCTGCCCAGGGTTTGTTGAAGGAGTGGAAGGGCCACTTGGGACTTGTTGAGAACTCGGAGGGTGAACAATCCGGCGGTATCATGGGCTTTGTGCAGAGCTCGGATGGTAAGCGGGTTGTAACAGCCGGTGATGACGGTATTTCGCTGGTATTTGAGGAGTAAACTTTTCATTATGATTAGACCAAAAAGCCTGTATAGATGCGGACTTCCGAGATATCGGCGTATTAATGCAATTTATGACCATGTTTAGTTCTCAATTGATCACCAGTGTCCTGCCTGGTATGATGATATATAGCAGTACTACCACTAATAGTTTACTTTAGTTCGTTGCTAAACTGAGATAATCTCGAATGCCTACACAGCCTGTACTCCATAAGATTTGAACAAAATGCACTTGATGTGATAAATAACAGTTACTATGTACACCCGACAAATGAAACAACCCAAGCGCCGTCTGTAGAGAGCTAAGGGCCATTCAGGATAATGAGACAAAAAATCTATCCCAATCGAATCGACAATCCCTTCTCCCGCTTGTACACCACACAATGTGACCCTCTAATCACGTACGGATGCCATTGATCTCGGCAATCCGGGGTATCCTTCATCTTTTTTCCATCGCATGTCGGCTTCTTTCTTCCAACTCCGCACTTATGCTCCCCTTGATCGTGATTTAGTGGTGGCCCTCGCCGTGGTGATGGTGATCATCCTTCAGGAAGAAGTGCTCGTAGGCGCAGTAACCAGCGAAAGCAACGCTGGCAATGCCGAAGCCAGGGAAGATGCGCTTGAAACGGTTGATGCGGCTGAAGGGACCGGTGTATCTCCAGGCCTCGCTTGGGTAAATAGTCAGTACAACACGTAATCATTCAATCGGCGGTGGAAGTATCGTACTAGCGAGCCCAGGGGTCCTTCTTGGCCCAGGCCGACCGGGGGTGGGCGGCGGCCTTGAACTCGTTGATGTCAAATCCGGTGGGGTTGGGAGCCATGGTGAGCGGATTGGCGATGGATTAGGAGCTGAGTTGGAGGTGAGTTGAACGGCGGATCGAGTATTCAGGAAATTGAGACCGAGATCCGCAGGGTCCGGACAGACAATGGACGGGAAACCGGGGGTGGTAGCGCGAGAATGAGGGACAGGCGGAAACAGAGGAAGTTGAAGCTGTACGGAAACGAGGGAGTTCGAGCGAGGACTGGGGGCTTGGCGCACTAGTCCGGATCCAGCAACCGCAGCTGTCCGCCTTCTTCGCCGGCGAGGATGAGCCCGTCCGTCCCAGAGCCCAGCGCGAAAAGAGCCGACCGAACCTCCCTCCCACTTCGCTTCAACTCATCGTTCACATCCCAATCTCAGATGCGTGACGGTTGATCAGTTCTCTCATTGCTGCCTTTCAACATGCCCCCTCCCGTCGGCCGATACGGGCCTACTGGCCTAACAGCTTCCTATACCCACCTACAGCAAGCCCATCTCCAGCAACAGCAGCAAGCCCAACATCACCCGGCCCACGCCCAGTCGGCCAACTCAGCCCTCCCTCCTCCATCCCTTGGTGGTCACCCTGGTTTTGCCACCGGAAACCCGAACACAAATATCAATCCGTTTACACTGTCCGGCACCGGTATCGCAAATGGTATGTCCGTCGCAGGGTTCGCGAGTGCCGGGGATGGAGGCGGCACCGGACTCGCCAGCCACGCCGCCCAGATGGGCTTCGCACGAGGCGCGCAGATGCAACAGCAGCAATTACATCAGACTCACGATGGCCGACTGGCGCTCGAGGCAAAGGCCGGTGCGGTGAAGACGCGGATACGTGACGTATGGAGCCACAATCTGGCTCAGGAAATGGCCATCCTGCGACAGTTCGTCGAGAAGTATCCCTACATCAGCATGGTAAGATGCAGCTAGCTGTGGAGCTGGGAAATTATGAAGTTGCTCGGCTCCTTTTACTGGGAGATGAGGGACGCTAACCAAAGCCCAGGACACCGAGTTCCCCGGTATCGTCGCACGTCCAATGGGAGCGTTCACGAATAAAGCAGACTACCACTATCAAACTCTCCGGTGTAACGTCGATCTCCTGAAAATGATCCAGCTTGGTATTACCTTGTTTTCTGCCGAAGGCGAGGTACCCCCGCCCAACGCTACGGATGCGAATGGACAGCCTCTCGGAAACAGCCTCGTCCCTGCGCCGTGCACATGGCAGTTCAACTTCCGGTTTTCGTTAGAGGAAGATATGTACGCACAAGAGTCGACGGCGATGCTGGCCAAGGCGGGTATTGATTTCTCTATGCATGAAAAGAACGGAATCGACCCCTTTGAGTTCGGTGCTCTTCTGATCAGCTCGGGGCTCGTTCTTTTGGAAGATGTCCATTGGGTCTCTTTTCACTCCGGTTATGATTTCGGATACCTCATGAAGATTATGCTCTGCAAACCTCTTCCCGAGAACGAAGAGGAATTCCACAAACTCCTCAAAATCTTCTTCCCGTCGCTGTATGATATCAAATATTTGATGAAACATGCAGGACGCAATCAGGCTGTAAACGACTCTCCGTTAACGCCAGCCGCTGCTCAAATCCTCACTAATCTCGGACAGAAGTCGGGTCTGCAAGACATTGCGGATGAGCTCGGTGTCAAGCGCGTCGGCATCGCTCATCAGGCAGGGTCGGACTCTCTCGTGACGGGTGAGATCTACTGGAAGATGCGCCAACTCGTCTTCAACGGCAGCATCGACGAGTCGAAATACTCGGGTCAGATTTGGGGCTTGAACGGTCAGATGCCGGCTTTGCTGTACCACATGCAGCCACATCAGACTCCCAATCTTAACGGCGCCACAATCTACTCGGCTACCGGCACGCCAAGCACCCCCAATGCCGGTCACATGGGCAGCCAAACACCCCATACGATGACACCTGGTGCCACTGGCGGCGTCCTGGGGCAATTCCAGCTTGCCAAGTCATGAGGCTCATCGGTTCGTCTGGCTGTCTTGGTATTATCTCCTTTCAATATTTGGTGTTAGATCAGGTTCGGGGAGTTCGAGATATTGTCTACGTTTAGGTACATTTTCCCTGACTCTTTGCTCTCTTGCTTGTATAGGCTCCTACCCCTGACCGGTTGGATCTGGCAACAGCACCCGGATCCACGGTCACTTCTCTCCATTGAACCTTAGCCGGCGGTTCTGTTTACTTTTCACCTGTTTGTCATGTTGCTTTCGGCAGAGATGGCAAG